CCTGTCTAGCACTAAGAGGATACTGACACTCAAATAGACAAAGCTATTTGAACACCGACATAGTCGCTTCGCCTCATGCGAGCACAACGGGCATCTTATCCTTAAGGCCAAGACGCCTTGAAATGTATGTTTTTGTAAGAACAGCACTTAAGCACCCTGTATGTATATTTGCAAAAAAAATCGCATATATAAGTATTATGATTTAAATAAGGGAATAATATTTTTCCAAATCCGAAATAAAGAAATAATACATATCTCAATCCAAAATATATATATAATAATATGTATATGGAATATATTATATGGAAACTCGAAAAGTATCACAGAATTGGACTGTTTGTGAGCTTTAAAAATCTTGAATAATTCTGTACATAGCATGTGTACGTGCTTTTTTATACACTGACTGAACCAATTCGCATGTGGTTTCCTGTAATATAATATAATAATCTGACGTTTCATTTACGAGTATCTAAGTTTATTTGTAATAGTATTTTGTATTTTCTTCGGTTTTCGCGAGTTTTTTATTAAATCACTTTTACGACTCAATCTCGCGTTTTTTATCGTCATTACATTATTTTCAACGTTTCGAATACTTCACAGTTTTCAGGGTCAAGGACGACTGACTTTTTCAGTTCCGAATTTCTGAGTTTGAATGAATAAGTTTATGCATATATTCAAAACTTTTTCAATGTAATATAATGATTAGAATGTGAAAATACATGGCCACCAATAGCATCTCTACAATAATCGCGAATGTTCTTTCTTTTTATTCAACATAGCCTTCTTCTTCTTATCAGCCCATGGACAAGGGCGGATCCAGCTTTGGCGCCAGGAGGGGGTCTCCATGGTCAAATTTAGATGCGTTCGTTCCCAAGCGTTTGCCATTATACAAAGTTATTATATTATTATATTAAATTAATTAAATATTGAAGGTATGTAGTTACATAAAATCTGTATGGTAATAAAATATATAAATAAAATCATTATATTCAATTAGTGGTCCACCTAAGTCCTGGAACCAGCTCAGGGGGTGGTCATGACCCCCATGACCCCCCCCCTGGATCCGCCATTGCCCATGGACATCCACTGCTGGACATAGGCCTCCCCCAAGCCTCGCCACAAAGACCGGTCCTGCGCTGCCGGCATCCAGCGGATCCCCGCAAACCTCAATAGATCGTCGGCCCATCTTGTGGGAGGCCTACCCACGCTACGTCTTCCAGTACGCGGTCGCCACTCTAGAACTTTCTGGCCCCAACGGCCATCCGTTCTGCGAGCAATGTGTCCTGTCCACTGCCACTTCAATATCGCAATCCTTTGGGCTATGTCGGTTACCATGGTTTTCCTGCGAATCTCCTCATTTCTGATTTGATCTCGCAGGGAAACTCCGAGCATATATACATAGCCTTCATTATTAATAAATAAGTGAAACCACCGGGGCACATCGGGGCTTCGTATTTGTATGTTAAAAAACAAAGTACCCGATTTTTTTTACTGAAACTTACTCTCTACCAAAATCGTTTTTACTCTTAATTTTAAATCAAACATCCATTTAAATTGTTCGCGTTTTAATATAACAAACAACGATAAAATATAAAACCAGACTATAAGCCGTAACATTACGAATCGACCGTCCAATTTTACCTGCAATAACCGTTTCATTCTATTAACAGCCGGTGTTATGTGGCCCATAAACAAAATCAATTTCCATCAATTTAATAACCGGTCCCCTACCGACGTACACGGCGCCAATCAGTGGCTAATCAATCTTGCAGTTCTAGATTACTTATTGGTCCCACTGAAATCGACCGACGGCAACATTGAAACTTTCAGTTGTATTCAACTTTGTTTAATATATGTACATATGTAGTCCCACTAATCCGTTCGACCTTGATTCTAAAGTCGTGCAGGTGAAAGTTGTTTTTAGTTTATAACGGATTGAATGATACTTTTTTCGGTAACTTTTTTATTGCTTAGATGGGTGGACGAGCTCACAGTCCACCTGGTGTTTAGTGGTTACTGGAGCACATAGACATCTAAAACGTAAATGCGCCACCCACTTTGAGATATAAGTTCTAAGGTCTCAAGTACAGTTACAACGGCTGCCCCACCCTTTAAGCCGAAACGCATTACTGCTTCACGGCAGAAATAGGCGGTGGTACCCACCCATGCGGACTTACAAGAGCTCCTACCACCAGTAATTACGCTAATTATAATTTTGCGGGTTTGATTTTTATTACACGATGTTATTCCTTCACCGTGGAAGTCAATCGTGAACATTTGTTGAGTACGTATTTCATTAGAAAAATTGGTACCCGCCTGAGATTCGAACACCGGTGCATCGCTTCAACACGAATGCACCGGACGTCTTATCCGTTAGGCCACGACGACTTCCTAATTCGTCTTACATTATACGGGTATTGCAGTTTAGTTATATTTTTTATTCGACAGATTGACAGATCCTATGTTTGATTTAAAGCCTTGTAGAAAATGGTAGACCTAAGATCAGCAAATCCGGGATTAAAGCTCTCATGGAATAATAAAGCAAAACACGCCCTGTACGCTCGTATCGAGCGATGTGAATATGCCAGAAAGCAAATCCTTTAACAGATACCTAACAATTTTTAGTATGTAAATTCATACCCAATACATTTCATTCATGAACGGCTTCAATGATTAAAGAATATCGTAGATATCAGATAGTGGCTTTTGTAAGTAAAAAGTACTTTTTTGTTGGTGGTAGGACCTCTTGTACTGGTGGTAGGACCTCTCGTGAGTCCGCGCGGGTAGGTACCACCGCCCTGCCTATTTCTGCCGTGAAGCAGTAATGCGTTTCGGTTTGAAGGGTGGGGCAGCCGTTGTAACTATACTGAGATCTTAGAACTTATATCCAAAGATGGGTGGCGCATTTACGTTGTAGATGTCCATGGGCTCCAGTAACCACTTAACACCGGGTGGGCTGTGAGCTCGTCCACCCATTAAAGCAATAAAAAAAAAACGTTCACTGTATTATTATTTTAATGGTATAGCTACTCATATAAAAGTATGTAAATAGATAAGTCACATGCAGTCTACTCCGCTGATGAGGTATTATGAAACACGGCCAGGATTTTCAGTGGAGGTACGAGCTATAAAACTTGAGTTATATCAGAGTACGCCCGATGTTTAAAGCTGCAGGATAAAGACACAAACGTTGAATTATGAAGCCTTTTTTTTTTTGACACTCATAAAAGTGCTGTATACTTTTCATAGTCTTGAGATATGTGTGAATACCAAACGCTTCCAAATAAAATATATAAATCAACAATTCGAGACGACTTTAGTATTTTCCAAAAATGAATTGAAATCAAAGCTTTCAAGCTAAAATAATATCCCTTTAGTTTTATTAATATTTCCGATTGTAAAATGTGCGATTTTTTCATTCTTAGAAAACATTTGCATTTGAATGACTAATAGCTTTATAAGCACAAAATAAAACAATAACATTAAAAAATATGAATAATATAATAATTGATTTAATTTTGAGTGAGACAATGAGTGCATTTTATTTAAGATGTACAGGAAAAAATATACGTAATTGCTTAAGAGATGAATACACTCATGTAGAATTAAAAATCAAAAAACTTTTAACCTGAAAAAGAAATTGATTGAAACAATAAAGAAAACGACGAAAGACGACCAACTCCTCGGAGATATATTAAATTATTTTGTTTGAACTCAAACATGAAAACAAATCTCGGTAACGTTCACAAACTCGATAACAAACGTTGAATACGCAAACATAATCTGATATCAGTAAAAACACGGTTCACAAACGAAAAACAAAATTAGCCTTTAGGAGAATCTATATATTAATACGTGAAACAAAAACTTTGTATCCCTTTTTACGAAAATTGCGCGGACGGAGGAGTATGAAATTTTACACACTTATAGAGAATATAGAGAAGAAGTGCACAATGCTAATTTTTTTTTTAAATAATGCATAAAAGATACATTAAATCAATAAAGAACACATTACACACACTACATACCATGTATTTGGCGCACACATGCATGCATTCTATTTATTGTCAAACTTTTGTTCTTGACGTCTGTTGTCAAATTGAGATTAAATATTGTTTGTCTTTGTTAATATTTTTATAGTGTAGCCTTGGCAAAATTTGTGATTATAAAATACAATCATAATAGTGTACAAATTTACAATTCCAATTAATTATAGTCGGATTTCGACTACTGCGGGACCTCTAGTTTATTTTAACTCGTAAGAAGATTGTCATTCGAAGAATTCATTTCGTTTAAGCTTGTTAACGTCGTATGAGTTGTCGGATAGGGTGAGAACCCTCCACGAAAGCCAATGAGCCAATACGGTATGTTATTCCGATTCTATATCTTAAGCGTTTACGTTATCATGCTCTACGGGCCTCTACGACTGCTACGAACTCGCTACGAGCGCTCATCTCGTAGACTTGACTCCTAAAATTTTACTGTAATTGTGTGTGACGATTTATAAATGGTAACGCGAAGTAAAAATTAATAGAACAATATTCGTTTTTTATAAAATTTCCTTCTAGTAATTATTAAATCTTTATTCGGTAGGCAGCGGCTTGGCTCTGCCCCTGGCATTGCTGAAGTCCATGGGCGACGGTAACCATTCACCATCAGGTGGGCCGTATGTTCGTCTGCCTACAAGGGCAATAAAAAAATAAATAAAAAAATTTTTCGTACGTCAACAAATCGACCCTATTGGAGTATCAATGGAGCTAGGTATATTAGAATAACAAACGCCAAGTCATTTCTTTTATTTTTGTTAATTCTTATTGAATAAAATTAGTTTTAATGGAATGATATTTTAATACTAATGTAAAGTGAAGAACTAATATTATAAAACTTAGATGTCTTGAAATATATTTACAAAATAAATGGTGTTGTTTACATTACTGTAAAAATAAACATTACAAATGATGACCGTGACTGTGAATTCTAAAACTACCGTGTGCTGTTACCTTTCTTCGCTCAATCCTTCCTTTGTTCACTTCATAATTTAATTTAAACACTAATCGAGTGTCCACGCCGTACCATTGACAACAACTAGTTGTAGTGTCTACTAAAAACTTAAGTAATTTCTGCTAAATGTGTCCGGTAAAATTACCGTTGTCATTTTCTTAGAAAGCGTTCACATTCGAGCGTGAATCATTTATATAGGCTGACCGTTACTGACTACAAAGAATAGCGAGCGCGTGTTTATGCGCACGGCTAGGCATGATCGTGAGCTCCGGTCGCTCGCCGGTAGCCGACTGACGTTGGTACATACGACACATCTGCATTTAAGAAGCCGCTATCGTTATGCGACTAATCGATTGGTCGAAGCGAGTCGCACTGTCTTCCTTCTCCCTCCGACATTTCTCTCGCTCATTTTTCACGCATGCGTCTTACGGTGTAATTTTCTTTTAAAAGTGACGAAAAGTAAATAAACTCATACGAACTGTTTATTTGCAGACTAGAGATGTAAGTTTAGATCAAACAGGAAAGTTTAGCGCTTTCGATCCATTACCAAAGTGCGACGCTGAAAATGTCAGTAATCGGTAATCGTATCGTAAAATTTTATTTTGTAGAGCTCTCTGCTATTGGCAAAAAAATCCGGCTTGTTAGCCTTAGATGGTGGCCAAGGCATAGAAAACGTCACTTGTTGCATGGCGACTTACAGCGACGAAAAGCCACGCACGCAACATATTACACTTCGTTTTTCCAACAAAAGTATTTAGTGTTTCCCGCTTATAAAATGATTGATTTTTTTTATTCCCGATTTTTGGTTCGCTAGAGACGATTTGATGAAATTAGTTAGTTTAAAGTGTTTTGTATCAGTTAACTGTCATTTGAAATCTAAATTTATATTGCGATAAGTACAACGGAATCTATTTTCAGCAGCACATTCAACATCTGTTTATTTGTTGTATATTAATGAATCCATATTATTTTAAAATAGGCGAGTAATGAAATTACAAATACAGGAGAGAAAAAAATAAAAATAAAAGGAGTAAAAGGGATAAAAAAATCCACAAAATCAGTAAGCGCGATGTCTTGTGCCTCGACAGCATTATACGTAAGTTAATCCCACTAAATTAGAACCAAATTTAATTACAAGTCCGCAAACAGTGATTGCATAATATGATTACATGCCATTCAAACATTAACATAGTAGGTACACCTCGATCGCTGTATCAGAGCTGAATCAACTACAAATCAAAACAAAGTACAAATAGCCAAGATCACTATCAGCAGAGTACGTGATTAGCAAGTAATGTGAAGAAATAACCGGGCGTTAATTTCCCTGCAAATCGAAGACCTAAATAGTGCGGATAATACTGTATACTGGGATGTTCAAGAAAGATAGTTCTTCACATAGTTGCTAAGAGAAGGAAGGGATCCATTTTAGATTAGCGATCTTCTGCTGCGAATGAAGCAGATCTCAACAGTACGGATTCTTTTCATATTACGGTTAGGTACAACACGTAGACAACGTTGTAATGATTCTTACGTATTGCGTAGATTGGTGATCGAACCCATAAACTAGAAACCGCACCCCCCTTAACACATAATATTAAAGTCTCAAATGTATTGCGTCTGTGCTATCTGACGCTTCAAACCGGACCGCGGCAGAAATAAGCTGAATACTATTACTTACCCAAGTACATAAATTTTGAAATGGGGTGGTGGTGAAAAATATTCCACGAAAAACAGCTGATAAATTTAAGGACGTGTGTCGATAACAAAAACCGAACTGTAAACCTATTTGCGTATTTTAATTACGGATTTTAATATAACTTGAAACTAGGTAGGTAAAACTAGGTAGTTACCCCTCCCATACACAGCTCTAGTCGCTATAGTGGCTCTTTCACAATACAAGCAGTGCGATTATGGAATTCTCTCCCTCAACCTATTCGTGCTAGTTCCTCTCTAGAAGTTTTTAAGAGTCAAATGAAGAAACATTTCCTGTCACTTTAATCGTATTTAAGTTATTGTTTTATGTATTTTTATTTATATGTATTTTTCATTTAACATTAGATTATTTTTTTAATGCTTAGTTAAAAATCATGCTTTAATAGCTCTTATATTGTACACTATTCCCCTCTTATACATCGTATTTCTCTCTGATAATGGTTTGCTGGAAGAAAACTCATGAATGAGTTAAGCTCGCCTTTGTACATAGTATTTAGAATTCTTTAAATCTGTTTTTATTGTATTTTCTTTTTGTGTACAATAAGTATANTTAGTTAAAAATCATGCTTTAATAGCTCTTATATTGTACACTATTCCCCTCTTATACATCGTATTTCTCTCTGATAATGGTTTGCTGGAAGAAAACTCATGAATGAGTTAAGCTCGCCTTTGTACATAGTATTTAGAATTCTTTAAATCTGTTTTTATTGTATTTTCTTTTTGTGTACAATAAGTATAAATAAATAAAATAAATAGTTAAACGGTAGGCAGCGGCTTGGCTCTGCCCCTGGCATTGCTAAAGTCCATGGGCGACGGTAACCACTCACCATCAGGTGGGCCGTATGCTCGTCTGCCTACAAGGGCAATAAAAAAAATTTTTAGAAATCGGAGCTTAAAAGTTCGACCGGACATTTCTGCTGCATTAGACTTTCATAGAAAACGACTAAATGCAATAATTTAATTTCCAAATTCAAATGCATCCGTCAAATATTTAACAAAGACAGTAAGTAGTAGTGAGTATTACACTATTTGTAAAGTGCACGCTATTTGTTTAGTCAGAGCGGTCGATAGGTGCTCCAGAAAGCGAGCTCTTAACATGTAGCCGGGAGCTGTATTAAATGATGCGGAAATTCCCACTTACTCTCTGATTGCCACAGTAGGAGGGCTAATGTCATTGTTGATTCGGAATGTCGACTGTGCTCACTGAAGCTACATTTTTGTCTTTAAGTGCGTTTTGTTAATGCACGTGATTTTATTGGCCAGGTGAATAGACAAACTCACAGCTTACTTGTTTTAAAATGGTTAACGGAGCCCATAGATAGATAGTTGGTCGTCGACTATCGCCTCGACGACCCGTCGGTCGGGCGTCCTCGGGGTGGCGCCGCGTATCTAGTTGTAGTGTTGACCGCGGGAACCCCCCTACTCTGACCGGGTTTTGACCCCGGCCGGAGATCGGACGTCAGGTGTAAGAGAGTTGTTTAGTGGGTAGGGCCCTAAAATTCTTTGGGCCTGCGGTCTGCTCCCAACACCATGCAGATCGTCGAGTCCCACATACCCCGCGCGCCCCCTTAGGCGCGGAGACCTCGTAGGAGGTTCGGACGGGGCCGAAAAAAAAAAGCCCATAGACATCAAAAGCGTAAATGCCGCACCCACATTGATACATGAGTTATAAGTCTCAGTTTTACAACACAACGACTGCTCCATCCTTCATACCGAAACGCATTATTATTTCACGGGCGATATAGGCAGAGCGGTGGTACGTGTTCCGAGCGAACAAATAAAATCACATACCAGCAGTAATTATGCTAATTGTATTTTTTTACGGGTTTGTTATTATAATTTTTATTATACGGTGTTATTTCTTCACCATGGAAGTCATTCTCGAATTCAGTATGATTAGAGAAAAATTCAGTATGATCAGAAAATAGTTATCTGCCTGCGGGACTCAAATATGTATCGACACAATCGCAAACCTATATTATTTTAGTCAAAACTCAGGACAGTTTTTAGCTTTCCTCTTGTATGACCTCTCTAAATGGTCTGGACAATCTGAGTTCTATCCAGCTGATAGTTGCGTGGAGTTGTTGGCTTCCAGAACAAATTTCGCCCTATCTCTTCCTGTGTGGGTGTCTCAATAATAATTAACATATAGGTTTGCATGGAAATTAAATTTGTGCCCTCTCCACTATAACCTCAGCTTAGGTAGCGGTACTTAATGTTATCGTGCCTCCGCCCATCCCGTAAAGTGTAAACAATAAAATCATAGTGCAAAGCAACTTACCGCAAACGATTGTTTACTGTACGCCATAAACTAAACACTACTTAAGCTGACGGCTCGTTGTCGTCCAGATGCTTTAACTTGATTAATAGATGATTTGAGAACGGCCTGATTAATACGCGAGGAGCAGGCACGTAAACAGAGTTCCGCATTGTGGCTCTTAGCCGTATTTGCGTATTTCTGTAGTGATATGTTTGTAATTAAAGAAGACAACTCAAATGATAAAAGATTGATGATTATTTCAGAATCGCCAGTTCGATTATCTCGTTTATCAAGTGGTTAATTTCTCACACTACTGTATTATGGAGTGGGATCGATACGCGGTTAGATTTAGGGTCTTTGTTAAAGTTTTTTTTTATAGCTTAGATTGGTGGACTAGCTCACAGCCCACCTGGTGTTAAGTGGTTACTGGAGCCCATAGACATCTACCACGTAAATGCGCCACCCACTTGAGATATAAGTTCTAAGGTCTTAAGTATAGTTACAGCGACTGCCCCACCCTTCAAACCAAAACGCATTACTGCTTCACGTCAGAAATAGGCAGGGTGGTTGTACCTACCAGTGCGGACTCACAAGAGGTCCTACCACCAGTTTGCTATTCGGTATCCGTGTGTACATCTAGTTGTCTTTTAAAAATGTTTCCAATACCTACCCATAAAAAAAACTGCTAGCATTGTCTATTGAAGGGTAAAATTGGCATATAAAGTCCACATATTATTGTTATAGGCGCGTTTGATCCTTTCATTACAAAGGATTCTTCACTTACAAATTTTGTATTATATCTGCTGCATTACATGCAGCTTAGCTACGGCATGACTGTTTGAAAACGATGTAACGACATTAATATGTTACATTTGTAAAGCAATAATTCTATTATTTTACGGCAAAAGTTAAACAGCAATCATAAATCAACAAAGAATTGAGCGATAATTTCTGTGATTAAATTAGAAAAAGAGAATTCAAAGAAATGTTAATTATTATAAAAAATTAGTAGCTCACACATGTTTGAAATCTATCATAATAAAGAAATGAAAATACATTCATTACTTACAATATTAATTAGTAACAAAACAAGCGTACTTACAATTGCCTCTTAAAACATACATACAATTACACCAAAAAAAATCAGACATGTATTTGTAAAATGATCATAAAATGAAAATAACCCTCTCGCTAAAATATCAATTACGTGTCTGTCGTGCCTCAATCCATTCGAAGCCTGTAACGTCTTAATCATGTTCAAACAAACTATTTCAACGCTGCAT